TCCTGTGCCCCTCACACTCCTGTGCCCCTCACTCCTGTGCCCCTCACTCCTGTGCCCCTCACACTCCTGTGCCCCTCACACTCCTGTGCCCCTCACTCCTGTGCCCCTCACACTCCTGTGCTCCTCACTCCTGTGCCCCTTACACTCCTGTGCCCCTCACTCCTGTGCCCCTCACACCTGTGCCCCTCACACTCCTGTGCCCCTCACACCTGTGCCCCTCACACTCCTGTGCCCCCTCACGCTCCTGTGCCCTTCACACCTGTGCCCCTCACTCCTGTGCCCCTCACACTCCTGTGACCCTCACACTCCTGTGCCCCTCACACCTGTGCCCCTCACACCTGTGCTCCTCACACTCCTGTGCCCCTCACACCTGTGCCCCTCACACCTGTGCTCCTCACACTCCTGTGCCCCTCACACCTGTGCCCCTCACACCTGTGCTCCTCACACTCCTGTGCCCCTCACACCTGTGCCCCTCACACCTGTGCTCCTCACACTCCTGTGCCCCTCACACCTGTGCCCCTCACACCTGTGCTCCTCACACTCCTGTGCCCCTCATGCACCTGCGCAGACATGTTGACGATGAGCACCGACCACTGGCTGGAGGGCAAGGACTGGAGCACGCTCTGGGCTATGGAGGTCTTCCCCGTGCCCACGGGCCCCACCAGCAACACAGGGTTCTGGTTGGCCACCAAGGTGCTCACAAGGTAGTTGTACCGGATGGTGTCGACGGTGGGCACCGTGATCTTGTAGAAGGGGGCGCTGAAGGAGAGAGGAACCTCGTCCCCAGGCCGAGGACCCACCCGGCTCGCTTGCACTTCCTCCTGGTCTTAACAGGTCCAGTCACCAGCCCTGCTTCCTGGGTCTGGGACCCTCGTCCCAGGTCCTCTAGATCCAAAGTCCTAACCCGGCCATCCTTCCCCTGGACTTGGTTTTCTCCTTGTACAGCCCACCCCCGGCTTCTGCCCCATCACTTGGCCATGTCCACCCCACCTGCAGGCCCAAGCCCCACCCACACCCCGCACCCCACACCCCATTCTCACTTTGGAGGATAGCGCCAGCTCTTGGGGAGCTTCTCCTCAAATGATGACCAAGCCCGCATCTTGGGGTTCACGTAGTATTCATATACTGTATCCTAAGAAAAGCGTGTGAGTCACGTGACCGGACCTTCCTCAAACCCTTCCTAGCTGGAGGGGCCTCACACACTGACAGGCAGAGAAGAGAGTGGCAGCAGAGTGGAAGGCCAGGCAGAGGCTGGAGACCAGAGATGCAGGTCCGGGAAAAGTGGGAGCAATGGGGCAGTGGTCCTCAAGGCCCTGACCTTATTGGGGAAGGAGCCCTCGATCTCTCGGAGGTAACTGTCAATCTTCTTGCGCCCGTCCTCATCCACAGAGGCACATACAGACCAGATCATGCTGAACACAAATGTCATCTCCACCATAAAGGAGTGGTTTTCAAAATCCGCTGGGTTCACCTGGGGAGAGAGAGGAGCTTCAGGAGGGCTGACCCTGCCCGAGGACAAGCTTCCCTGGTCACAGGAGCCACACCTGTAAGAGACAGAAGGCTGTGTTAGCAATCACCGAGAAGCCAGAGAGCCTGCCCTCCTCTACCTCCTCCTTCCTAGCCACTTCCCCGTGGGAGACTGTGGCTGTGAACAAGTACCGAGCCAGCTAGGACCTGCACTTGGACTTCAGGTGAATGCGGGATTCCCACATCAGTGTGGCTGCTCAGGGCTGCCTCCAGGCTAAGACAGAAGAACACAACTGTGGCCTGGCCACACTGGGCCTGCCCTGAGGAAGCACTCATAGGCGTTCAGGGAGACAGCCCATCTACCAGCAGAGGAAGGAGAATACAATGTGGGATTTACCATGGAATAGTAAACAACAGCCACAGCTCACAACAGCCATGATACACAACAACAGCCACGGCTCACGACAACAGCTACGGCACAAGACAACAACGGCCACGGCTCACGACAGCAGCCACGGCTCACAACAGCCACGGCTCATGACATCTAAAGCAGCGGAAGTCATTTGCACATGGCAATCCGAGACATCACAATTTTACTTGGATGAGCATACTGCCTGTGTAAAATCCATTTCTGGTTGTTGTTTGCTTGTTTGCTTGCTCTGTGGTCTGAGGCTGGCAGTGTAGAACACGCCGGCCTCAAACTCACAGCCATGAATGCTGAGACTCCAGGCACCACCACGCCATGCCACGACCTAGCTTCTGTCAGGACAGAGTGTGTGGGTTCCTGTGGGCCTTATGTTCAAGCATTGTTGTTTGGTCGGTTTGGTTTTTGAGACAAGGTCTCGCCGTGTGGCTCTGGCTAGCCTGGAACTCCGTACGTAGACCAGCTGGTTTTGAACCCCCAGATTCACCTGCCTTTGCCTCCCAGGTACTGGAATGAAGGTGTCTGTCACTACCCCCAGCTGAGCACTTTTAACGGCCCTAGAACAGTACAAACAAACACGCTTCAGTAGTTCTCCCATGGAGGGGAAAGAAACCAAGACTGGGAAGGGCAAAGGCTTGGCCGGCCTGGTGTCCCAGCCTGCAGTCCCAGCACTGAAGACGCACAGGGACCCCACGGTCAAGACCAGACAGCCAGACCCCATCTAAAAGGAGGAAAAGAAATACCGAGTTTGTGAAAGGAAAAATGGATTCAATGCTTACTTACACAGTTGAAACTGTAGTGTGGGGGTCTGGGAGTGTGGCTGAGCAGCGTGAGGTCCACAGGGCGCCAGCACCCTGCCAACGCCAGGTGGGCGTACAGCCACGGGCAACCCCAGGCGCGAGGAGACCCAGGCAAGGCTGCTAGACCAGCTGAATCAAAAGGCCTTATTTCCCTCAGTAGACGGGGAGAGGTGGGGGCCATCAAGGAACACGCTTGACAGCGGCCTCCGGCCTCCACACGCACGTACCCACACACGTGGGAAAACGTATATGCAGACAGGCCACACCAGACACTCATGCAAAACCATTATACTTCAGGGAGCTGAGGAGCCGGCTCCCGCCGCCCTGACACCACAGCCACAGGCTGCCACACACAGCCTCCTCCTGCTGTGACACACACAGCCTCCTCCCGCTG